GGCCACTTCTTAATTTTTTGATTTTGATGTCAGCTAGCACCTCACGAAATTTGCCCTCCTCAAAAAAAAAAAAAAAAAAAAACCCACAACAAACAAAAAACAAACAAGCAAAAACCCCTGGAAAATTTAGCTCCTCATTTTCCATTACAATTAAATCGAACGGAGAAGATAAGAGTTTAAAAGATTAAACTACTATAAAGTTATAAATGACCGTTTGGTTTTTAAATAGCGAAGGTTTACGGTTTGATTAAAATTAATCCGTCTTCCGGGTTTGTAAAAAAAACAAACAAAACTAAACCCATTTATAAATTGAACAGAATACATAGAAAGTGCAATAAGACGTGTGAATCCGGCTAAATATGCGTAATAGGAACCTGTATCAACACACAAAAAGTCATGCTGTTTATATGACCATATAGACAATGTATACGCTTGTGTATATTATAGCTATATATGCACAAGCATATATATATATAGAATCTGTTTGTGTCTGTCTATATATAACATACATACAACCCCACGTCAGATCCTATTGTACCCAACTCTGAAATCAAATACTAGTATTGTAGGTACATACAGAAGACACATAACAGGGATATAAATTCGTATTAAATTCTCAACAAAACCGACGCACTTATCATGCCCAATGTAAAGACATCCGATTTCATGCTGTTCACATTACATTATTTGGTTAAAATAACCACATACACCTCCTCGCCCTTTCTGTTCTTCGATAATAAAGTAAATCGCTGCAGTATTCAAAACAAAACAAAACAAAAAACCAACAAGAATGTTCTTACCAGTCGCGTTTGCTTGTCCTAGCCGGACTCCAAGTTTTCCCCTTTTTTCCTCCCCCCTCCCCCAAAAAATCTTAATTTGCAAAATGGACTGTATTCCCGAGCACCCAGGGTTTTAAAAAGACACTGTCATAAAACTTCTGCTACTTTATGGGGCAAGATTTTTATCAGGGTTTTCTTGAAAGTGAATTTAAACCCAAACTCACTCCCACCGTCACGTGATTCAGAAATTGGGAACAGGAGCAGAATAAAAACTAAACTGAGGTCAATCTCTTAATGAACCATTTTCCCACTCCTAAAAAAAAAAAAAAAAAGGCCCGGGTAGGCCAATGTGATGTTAACCAAGGACTAAGAAGAGGCTTTCCCGTGTCTGGGACGAATTCCCGGAAGACAATGCAGCAAACCAATGGGAATGGACGCTAGGTAGATCTTTTCTGCTTTATTACCTGCTAATATCAGCGAGCGAGGGAGAGATGCAGACACGAGCTAGGGGTTTGGGAGCGAGCAGGTGACAGGTTTGCCGCTCCGGCGAAGGGGTCGTAGCATCCCCCCCCCCCCGTCACCTCCATCCCTGATGCAGAGCAAAGCACGTGGGCTGCTGTTTGTAATTGACACACTAGCTTGCCGGCCCCACAATCGACCTGGCTCAATAGAGCAAGTTGCTGATAGTGGGGGAAGAAGGAAGAGCACAGATGTCAGATTAAGGTGTGTGACCCCCCCCTCCCCCGGCGTTGTTGCGCCGTTGGTTAGTGAATGAAGGATTTTTATTTGCAGAGGAATACGGGGGGGGGGGGGGGGCGGAAGGAGGCAGCGTGTTTTGGGGTTTTACCCCTCGCGATCAGCGAACAAAGGCCGAATTCAACCCCCTACGAGCGGGGAGCGGAATGTTTGCTCGGGGGAGCTGTCCCGGGTATTGGGGGGGGGGGGAGTAGTTGGTTCAGACATTGGGTTTGGGCTGGGCCGAGACGCATTTGCCCTGAGTTATTTTGGGTGCGCGGGCGCGTGACTTGGGTGGCTTGGGGGGGTTTGCGTCGGCTCCGCGCCCCCCCAGCCTCCGGCAAGCGCTAGGCTCCCATTCCAGAAGGGGCCAAGCCGGCCGATCCCGCCCGCTCCGTTCGCTGGCCCTTCTTTTGGCGTGGCCCGGCGGGGTGCGTTTACACACACACCGCGCACGTGCGCGAGCCGTTGTGGCTTGTCGCAGAGGGATAGGCAACAACCGAGGGCGGATTGTGTTGCCTTTCGGCAGGTTGGGTTGTCTCCTTCTACTGTTGTAGGAAGAACAGGCCGGGTTCGAGTTAAGGGCCGGACACGTGCCACGTCCTTTATGGGCCAAACCGTTTCCAAACCGGATCCAAGCAGACTGCGGCCGAGGGAAGGCAATAACCCGGCCCAGACCCCTGGATTTGGGCGGACAAGTCCTGGGATCAAGGAGGGCAAAACCCCAAGTCCTCCTGCCCCCCTTTGCTTTCCCCACGAAGGGAGAATTCTCCAACTTCCACTTGTACTTTGTCCCCTCTTCAGCGTTCAAACCTCCGGGGCTGAGTTTAGCAGCGTTTCCCGGGGACCAGAGCCAACAGGCCGGAGGCTGGAGACGCGGACTCACCCTCTCGGGGAATCGCCTGTTTCTTTTCCTTTTTCAAATCAAAGGCCCCAGTCAAGTTGGGGACCTTTTTGTGACAGCGCCGGAGCGACACACATGGCCCGCGGGACTTGTTTGGGCGCCCTCTGGACCTGGCCTGAAACGCGTTTTTGGAAGGATCCGAATCAAAGCAGAGGACGTGGGGCGGGGGGAAACAGCCAAGCGGCCGGTCCCACCCGGGGCTAAGAAAGGGGAAGCAACGAACTTTGGCCTTCGGCTGCTGCGAGGCACCCAAAGGAACCGGCCCTGCCATTTCTATTTTTTAAAATCCCGCGCAGAGTTTGCGGTTCCCAGCCCATCCTCGCAGCCAGTCGGGCGGGGGGGCGGAAGGGGAGAGAGGAGGCGGCCAGCAGCGACTTTTTGCCTGCCCTTTATCTTCCAGTTTCATTCATTAGCCATGTGGCTAATTGGGGTGTGTATATGGGGGAGGGGTTACTTAAATCCGAACAGGGCGCATTTTCCTTCCCGTTCCTCTCCTTCCCTACGTGCATGTGAGGGCGGATGCCTCTTTGCAAACCGAATTATCGCCGATCGAGAGCAGTACCCGCCGGTTCACAGGGCTCTGACTAATCCAGATTGATTTAGCCGGCGGTTTCTTTTTCTCGGGGAAGCCCTGGTTTGTGATTGTATCTTCCCGAGTCCGCTTAAAACCGACATTAAAACTGCTGCTGG